CATTAGCCTCTTCTTAGATTTTGTAGCCATAGTTTAGTTTGAAAATTCCAATACGCCGTTGCCAGTTATTCCAGCTTTCTTGTTTTTTTGCCAATGTAAAGGTTAAGAAAAAAAATAATAATTAATGTTAATGTTAAGACCTATACTGCAGTATTACATGGAGAGATGATCAGAGGTACGTACTCCGTTGTGGTATCAATTAAATTGAATTTTAATGTACGGAGTGTTTGTAAAAGAATTTAATGGTCCATAGTCTATCTTTAAAATTCTGATGCGACGTTTCCAGGTTATCCCGATTTTCTTGAATTTTTTAATAGTGCAAGGGTTCATAAAAATGATTCACAATAGAGTTATTTTTAAAATACGCGCTTTATTGTGGAACATTTAAGTATTTATAAAAAAATCTAAGGCTTTACGACTTTGAATTATCGTTTTTGGAGTTTTTAATACCTTTCTTTTCGTATACGATGCGCGCCGGAATAGTCTGAACTGAATCTGAACATAGACATGTAACTTCGCGCGATAGAAGGAGAGGAATCGAACCCCACATATCCCGCTTGCCGGGCAGGTGCCTTGACCACTAGGCTAAAGAGCGGCTGATCTTTACTTCGGTTACCCAGCTATTACGGTGCCGCCACAAATGTAATCATGACGCGCTGGATTGCCAGGCACTCAGTGCGGGTGATAATCACTGAATTTAATAGTCACTTATTCCATAAATACAATTAACGAAAACGGAATTCGTAAATCGGCTAAGTAAATGAGAACGGAAACTAACAGCAGAGTGCAACGAGGCAATATTATTCTATTCTCAAATAAACGAAGTGCAGTGCATTGCAGTTACGGGCTGCAGCCCATAACTGCAATGAATTCCCATCCCGTACGAGCCGTACCGAGTTTGGTCTTGTCTAACCCGACGGCCATCCGCTGTTTATTATTATAATAATTAATTATGATATTTCTATATGATAAATAAATAAAAAAAAGTATATTTTATAATAAACAACAATTGACAATACATGGATATTTACTTTAATTAACTCAATTATCCATCATTTATCATAATTTTGTAAAAAAATCCAATTGCAACAAATTTTTGGTTTTTAATATTTTTTAAGAGAAAATGAATGACTTCGCCTCGTATACGTATTTATTTTATACAACTTGACAACGCAGAGTTAAAACTCCATCCGTGCGTCCCTGGGTCGACGCACTCTTTTTTCAAATACAACACCCTATATTTTATTAGTGCACCTTACTCTATTTTTTCTTTGGGTGTATCTCTCACAAAAGTAAACAATCACAATAACCATCAACTTTAAATTTAGAAAATACTTGACAAAAAGGAAAGAGAACAGAGAAACAGAATAAGATGCAATAATAAAATACAGTGAAAAAACTGAAATATCGAGATTTGAAAATTATAATTAGAATTTTTATGAACACTGTATATATTAAGACTCAATGTCGTAACAGAGATTTTAAAATTAACCCTACTACCATTTTTTGTGACCTTTCCATTGTTCAAAAAAAAAAAAATAGTGGAATAACTTGGCAACGTCACATCAGAATTTCACACATAAAGTGTACTTGTGCGGCCTAAGAAGAGGCCAACAAAATATGTAAAAATATATAGGGCATTCCATTAGAAAAAACAAAGTTATATGCGGGGTTAATTATTTGTTCTTCTGTCGAGTGGGAATGGGATGGGAACTAATAGAATATAGGCTGCAAAAATGTAAAAAAAACTCAAATCGTAATTTTTTTCTGCTGTACTATTTGCTATAAGATTTATTTCTTATTTCAGAAGAAACAAATGAGAGAACGGGTGGGTGGGCGGGGCTAAGATTAGCCTTCTCTACAGAGTTTTATAAGCAAACAGTATCCCCTCCCACCCATTATTTTCTTATTAGAGGGTATATCCTTTACTAAAAATAACCCTTCCTTAGCAAGTATTAGCCCCACCACCCGCCCTCTTCTTATTCTAACGATAAATTTGGTTTCTCTAAAGTATGAGTTACACCTTTCATTCAGAGCCGATAAAATTAATCAATGAAATGGAGGCGGGGTGGGTGGGCGGGGCTAAGATTGACTTTTTCTACTGTCTTATAAGATAAGCAAAGAGTAGCCCCCAAACCCATTATTTTCTTATTAGAGGGTATATCATTTACTAAAGACAATCTTATCTTAGCAAGTAGTAGCCCCACCCACCCGCCCTCTTCTTATTCTAACGACAAATTTTGTTCCTCTACAGTATGAGTTACACCTTTCATTCAGAAAACAGTGGTGATAACCCCGTTCCAAAATTACAACAAATAACTGAAATATTGATTTTTTAAAATACGTGATGCAAAAATTTGAACAAAATTTAAAAAATATATGATAATAAATTGGTAAAAAAAACTGCCCTCGCAGTTATGTAGTGAAAGTTATGGACAAGTTACATTTAAAATTTTATTACAATAAGCGTGTTAATAATGAAGATATTACATTCTGAAAATATATTGATAACACCATAAGAGCCAAACGTAGCGACTCCTCTTAATAACAGTGACTACTGTTTCTAGGTTTTCTTCAGTTGTACGAGTTCTCCTAGACGTTAAAATGCTTTAAAAAGTAAAAATGACAATTTTCGTGATGATCTTGATCAGATAAACCTTGAATTGCCCCGTCGTTTTTAATATTTGTCTGATTGATTCCCCATCACTTCGTCTTTGCCTAACTCTGGTGATTACCCAAGTTTCGCAAAAATTAGTGTTGAAATGGTGCCATACAGTGGCTGCTTAAAAATGATAGTTTTCCTGTTTTACAAAATTTCTTCAGTGTGTTTTGTAATATCGAAAGGGGACAGATGACACAATTAGGGGAAGAATTTTGATAAATGTATTTATCGTTATTACGAAACAACACTATTAAACATAAAACCAACTCCCAAGAAACAATGGATGATAAAGCATGAATTAGTTTCTGTGGAGCCGTTAATTTACCATTGATTCTTACGGAGATTTAACGGGGGCAACTTTTTGCCGATTTTAGCGCAGCAACAGCCTTAAGCAGGGATCAGTTTATTAACTTGGCACCCCGATAATTGTGTGATTAAAAACAATAGTCCAGTTTAGTACAGACAGTTTTGGGCGATAAGTATTTATCGTTTTCAGTGGCTGTAATTAAGAATTATGGCCAGTTTTTATATTAAAAAATAACAAATGTCCTGGTAGTGAACCTTTTCTATCAAAATTCTCAAAATCTTTACTTGTATTTCTTTTAAATTGGAAGAAAAAGATAACAAATCAATTTGATAGCGAGAGTAGTGGACGATTTATTTCTGAACTTGAATTGATGTGGATTTAATGGCTTACTGAATTCAAGTTGTCCTGTAAATCAGATATTTAAAATTATCCGCTTTTGTTATCGTCGGTGCGAGTGAAATCTAAACTGGCTACTGATTTTTGTTATGATGCCTTTTTTATCATAGAGGTGAATTACTCATACTAGTAAAGAAGCAATTGTATTTATTAAATTAATTCAGTTTGTGGTATAACTGTGGTACACCTTAATGTTTTTATAATATTAGGAATTTTTAGAAGTATTTACTTTTCGATTTTTATTTATATTGTTGATAATATTATTCGTTTTATTTATTCTAAAACTACACGAAATTGAAACCTGATAATATTTATATTTTCTTATTTACGCATGTAGAAAATTTGAAAATTCGGTAAATATTGTACAGAAATTTGTTTCCTCTCCAAAAAGTCGATAACGTAATTTCAAGGTTTTTTTGATGAGGAAATCACATTTTTACAAAGACGTTTGTCTGAGTTTTATTAACTCATAATGTTAAAAAAGATCGCATCAAGACAGATTTTTTTGTAATTACGGAGAACAACAGCAAAGGCAAGATGAGTGTTATGTCGTACACAAAAAAAAAAAATAATATAGTGAGACCCTTTGGTATTCACCATGTTCAGAGACAAGAGAAGAGACGTGCAAATAGCTTTTTTTATGTTCATGTAATATATTCTCCAATTTTTTTATCCCACTAGTATTTAAATCTCTGGAAGATTTGTTGAAATAAAAAACAGATGATTTTTATGTCGAAAAAGTGGTGACAATTTTATAAGTTTAAATTAATCAATGGTGTGTGGTCAAGATAAGAAATAATATTCTGAAACATTCTGTTTATGTATTATATAATGAACTGGACATATCTTAATTTAATTTACACAAAAGTTCAACAAACAGATTTTATTATAGCAATTAAAACAAATGATGTTACAAATAATTTAATCATATCGCAACAGCATGTATTGTTATGAATTGAGGATAATTTTCACAAAGAATCCCTGGATTCGTTAAACTAATCACACTCCGTGTTAATTAAGGTATTCAAATGAACTTAAAAAGTCGATAAAACTGAAAAAGTAATAACTCAGAATTTCGATACTACACCCGTTGTTATCCGTTTTCAACATGTTTCAGAGCCCAACCATACCTTTGAAAAAAAAAAGATAGAATGATGAAATAGTTCGTAGATATTAAATTAATAATCTATTTACTTAAATAGCACATAATTCCTAATCGATACTCCGTCTGTCAAAAGACATTCTTTAACCTTTTTTCTGCCTACGAATAAACTTTCCCTCGGAATCAATCGACCTCTAGCTTAATCCGAAGCCCCGCAAGGCATCCCAGCAATACTAAATAATTACACCAAAAACAAGCAACCGCGTTTATGCAAACTCCTCCAACAAGTCCATATATTACAGTATCTCGAATTTTCGTGTTTTCATTATGTAAATTTTCAGTAATATATGTGGCCAATTTTCATAATGCTCAACTTAGAGCCGAGACGCTGAACACGACTGTTCGTATCTCGGCAACAATGAGACGTTCACAATTCTGATTTAATTTAAACACATCGTCTTGGAACAGCAACCGAAACAGTTGCATCACAGACGTTCGTCGGGATTTAATGGTGTTTTCGATCTTTGTTCCAGAAAGTGCAAAGGCACGAAATTGGCGAAGTGGTCATTTTGGACGCTGACGCGAACACCGTAAGCACTCCGTTCGACGATCTCAACAATCTACCCCAAGAAGTTGTAAGTAGAAGTCCAACTCCGTTTTAATAATTGTTGTTGTTGTGTGCGCTTAAATTAATGTGGCTGTGTTTTCTGATGACCATTTTCCTTTGATGAGACTAAAATTAACGGCAATACTAATCTAAAAGAAAACGGAAATGATCATTAGTTTGTTGTGAGTATTCGGTTTTCCGGTTTTCCTGTCGAGTGTTGATTGACGTTATCAATAAATTATTCTTTGTAGCACTGTCCAAAAATTGCGTTGGAAATTCAATTAATTTTCTTTATAAATATTGAATCACTAAATCGATTGTGAGTAAATGTTTAATTTGTTTCCAGATTTAGATTATTGTCGTTTGACAAGTTCTGATTGGATTATGTTAACTTTATCAACAAAATTTTTGTTAAAAGGATGCGTATGACGCCGTGGCATCATTTCCTGCAAATCATGTTATTACGCCGTTACGTGGAGGCCTCAACTTTAATGTTGTTATTATTTTGTTGCAGACATTTTTCTTTTTTAACCCTGAAATTATTTATAGTTTGGAACTAACGTCGACGTTTTTGAGAGCCAGTTAAATGAAAATACTTGTGCTTCTCTTGATTGTTAATCGTTTGTTATACTACGTGATTTTTAGTGAGCCAATTTTTTGTATATTAAATCTTACTTACGTTTGATTTGCATTTGACGTAAACATATGTATTGCAATAAATCGCTATAATCACGTCGTATCATCTTTATATCTGACGTAAGTAATTGAAAAAACACTGATACAGTAGAATAATTTGAACTAAGTATAAGACAGTTGTGCTTCTAAAAAATAAAAAATAAAAAATGTGTTAACGTTTTTTTTTTTTTTTCAAAATACTTTAACTGAAATTCCTAGGATTTAAATAAAAAGCTTTTGAGCGACTTGCTAATTTCACACTTTTTAATAGCGACTTTATTTTATCCATAATTAGTGGACAAATTGCTGTAAAAATTTATATTTGTTTTAAAAATATTGCCCAAATGGATGTGATAACGTCATCTCAAAATTTTGTCAAATAAATCCTGTTGAAAATATGCGATATATAATGCTCATGTACTGTTGATTTATTAATCCTTTTTATTTTTAATCTTGTGTGTGTATTTTATTGGAAAAAAAAATCAAAATCGTCCAGCAAATTTAATATTAGAAATTGCCCTGGAATTGGTAAATCGATAATCAAAATTTGTCTATTCCTTCTAGAACTCTGCGCATGCGTTGTCTTTATGTACTTATTCTATTGTTTAGAACTGCTTATGCAAGATGTTTTAAAAAATATATATACGGAGCAACATGTTTTATTGATTAAATCGAAATGGCTTATCTCATTTTCTTCAACTTCTGGAAACCTACCAAATTGATATAATTATGTGTAGTAAAAAGTTGTTGACGTCATCACAAAATTTTATTTAAAACGTCAGCCCAGTATGTTGTTTATGTATAAATTTAAATAATCCGCTTCTAGTTTTATTTGAACTTATCGTGGAATCAAATTTTATAATGAATATATCTTTCAACAAACTGGATTTGATTTTTTGATTATATTGATCTGTTCTAAGATTTTTTATTTTAACCACTAATACTACATTATTTTACACCTTTGGATGCGCATTGTTTTAAAAACACAAACCAGTTTCCGTAACGTTTCTAGAAAATTAATCATAGTATTACTTAGAAAATTCGAAAATAAAAAATTGTTATCAGTTTTGGAATTTTGGGGACACATATACAGGGTGAGTCACTAAGCGCATTCTCCTAGATATATTATTAATTATTAAAAATTACAAAAAAAACAGTTAAAAACTAAAGTGGTACAGTTAAAATTATTTTCAACTATACAAAGTGTTTTGTTTTTAAGACGTAATACAATTTTTTTTTTAATAGAGTACCCTGTATATTTTTCCGTCCGTCTGTGTGCTGTCCCGATTTTTAGTAGAGAGATAATCTCCCAAACTACCAAGTTTTTACTCGAAACGTCTAGATTTTTGGAAAAGAAATCAAAATTATAAAACAACATTTTGCAATTTAATTTTGAATCTGCAAAACCGAATGCTTTAAAATATTCCAGATGTTTTAAAGTTATGATAAGCATAATACATTTTTAATCATCATATATTTGCTGAATAAATCCTATCTAAAATGTCGAAAATATGATGAGTGTACAGAAACGTGTTTATCATTACATTCATATTTTTGGATTTCTTTATACAGACAGAGTGACAAAAAAATTAAGGAGTTCGTGTATTTATATTAGAAATATCATGTAGATGGTAAAACTCTAACCAAAATTTGTCGAATCATCCCCACCACTGATGCGATGACGTCACTTCAAAATTGTACATAGCAAATGACTCTTAAATCGTATAAAATAACATAGTTCTACACAAGTAGTTTATGACTCCGAATAGAGTTTTTACCCGAAACGTCCAGATTTTTGAAGAAACAAATCAAAATTATAAAACAACATTTTGCAATTTAATTTTGAATCTGCTAAACCGAGTGCTTTGAAATCTTGTAGATGTTTTAAGGTTACAAACAGCATAATAAATTTTTAGTCAAAATGTATTTGCTCATCCCCTCCAAAAAATTGATGAGTCTGTACTTGAAATGTATCATTCCATCCATATTTTTTGGATTTGCATATACAGGGTGACCCAAAAGAATTAATGAATGCCTAAATTTATTTTATTGATTAAACCAGGAACTGTAACACCGAACGCTTTTATATCTTGGAGATGTTTGAAAGTTATAATAAGCATGGTCAGTTTTTGATCAAAATGTATTTGCTCATCCCCCCTAAAAAATTGGTGACGTCATCTCAAAATTTTGCCGAATAAATTCTACCCAAAATGTGCAAAACATGAGGAATTTTTATTTGTGATTTATCATTAATTCATTACATTCATATTTTTTAGATTTGCTTTAAAAAGGTGGCTCAAAACAATTGATGAATGGGTCAATTTATTTTATTGATTAAATCAGGAACGGCTCAATCCATTTCTCAGAAAATTTTGGAAATTCAATACTGTTATTTTTAGTATTACAATACAATGCATCAATCCAAGGTGATGATTTTTACTTTCCCGAGGTTATCACAAAACGAAAATCGTAAAATCAAATTTTATAATTTTTTTAAAGAGTTGGATTTGTCCGATTGTACTTCAAGGGCGCGGGAAGTTCTGTCGAAATAGCCTTTTTTTTAAGTATTTTGTATATTTAAAGTTATAGCGATTTTTTACTTTTTAAAGAGAAACATCGAGAGACAGAGAGAACAAAAAATAAAGTGAATATTATAATAGATAAGTATATGAAAATTGTAACGTTTTAGAATTTTTTCATAAACACTCTGTAAACCTTTCATTTAATTGATACCACAACAAAGCAAGTATTTCTGTTTATCTCTCCATAAAATATTGCAACACAAATTTTGAAAATTATATTATTGCAATTTTTTGCGAAGCCTTACATTACCAAAAAATTGACTAAACTTAGAATAACGTAGGAATATTGCATAGTATATAAGATGATGTATTAAAAAAAAATAGTAAGTTGCAGGCTTCTGCCTCAAACGTAAAACAACTCTGTATACTCGAAACAAATTTTAATGTGTACTACACAAGCATCTGCACAACCTTGGCCTCTGACTTTTCTTTCTCTAATAATAAATTAATGAGATATCGAGGATCGCACGCTTAGGGACTCACCTGTTCACGTGTCCATATTATCTTTAGTCATAAGAAACGATCGATAACCAGGCGTTTGTTATTATCAGAGACCGGACCGGGGGGTTGGTGGCCTACCCTTAAATTAATATCACGTACGTTGGCAAAATTATTGTTCTCTAAGTATTTTCCTCCATAAAACTGAGTTTTTAATGCGATGATCTTTGCGTTTTATATCTAATGTGTAGTATGAACGTCGCTGGATACGTGATTTGAAGGAAAAACTAACTCTTTTTATACTTGTATCATACAGTCGGCTACCTGAAGGTTAATCGGTCTGACGCGAGGATCAATTGCTTCATTACACTGGCGGTTGGTGTCTTACATACGAACGAATTTTAATATTATAAACTTATTAAAATTTTGAAAGTGCATATTTTTTTAGTGAAAATATAGCATTACTACCAAGTGTTAAAAAAATGACAAACACTTTTCATAACCATTTTTGAATTTCTAAATTTTATTTTCTGAAAATTGTTATAAAATATTCGCAGTTATAAGAAATAATCACAATAACGTTCGAATTTTGTGTACTTGGTACTTGTCAGCAAGATCAACATTTAAGTGACATTGATAGGTGGCAAACGCTTTTTTTAAATTCTGTTGTGACTTTTGTGACGTAAGTGACGATCCTGTTTGAAAATTAATAGAACCAGCCACAACAAAAATAAAAAAGTTAGAAGAGAGGGATAAGTATCAAATAGAACACCTGTATATGAAGAAATAAAAAAATATTTAATAATACATTTTCTTTAACGAAATATTTTTTTATTTTTTTAAAGCTTATCAAAAACGTGTTGTCAAATCACCATTTGAAGATATTTACGTTGATATAATATGCGTTTTTGGACGAACTCATTATTCAACACCTCTCTGTATAAATTAGTCACAGCTAAGAATTCTTAGATAAAACAGAGGTTTACTTTTTTATATTAATAAAATTGGAGTAAATTATTATTTAAAATTAATTCTCCAAATGCGCTACACTGCACACAAAATTCATATCAAAAAATAATTAACGTGAACCAACAAGTGCAATTTATGGACAGTCTTCAATTAATTAAAAGTTCCAAAAATATTAATTTATTAATATTTCGTAATGGAAAGGTAACATCGAAATTCGGTCCCGCCCACCGTTTACAATCCTCGTAAGTTTCGTCTTTTGTTGTTGCTCCTCCCTCGCAGCCCGTCCTAGTACCCTAACTTCTTAATTGGTTTCAATATTCGTTGTTGTTGTGATCTAGATCACGTCTCTGAAACGACAATTGAAAAATAAGTCAGCCCTATTGGGTGACGGCGTGTCGAGAGCTTTTCTGCGTGCTCTGGTTCAATTAATTGGCGGATATCGGGACGGATTAAGGATACAAGAAGCTCAGAAGATTACCTTCGATCAAGAGAAGTTCATCGAAACGAGACCCGTCTCGTTCCAGCCTTTCCTTAGGGAGATGCTGCATCTGCAGATCTTCCAACAGGTGAGTTTTTTTCTATTTAAGTTTATTGCTTGAAGGCATGGTATAATTTATCATTTAAGTCAGTGGAAGAAGATCTAGTATGGTTTTATTTCTAAAATATCCGTCAGAATATTCAAATAGATTTTTTAGAATTTTCCCAAAAAATGTGAAACTTTGCCTGGCTTTTGATGCATTGCTTGTAAGATTGTACGTGTGTATAATTTATAAACGAAAATATAGTGGTTAGATTGATGCAAATGTGCCGCTTATCTGAATACCATTGTATAATAAATATCTATGAAATCCGTCAGGAGAATTTGAAATTTAGGCCATTTGTAACACTTTACTTGTCGTTCTGATTCACGGTTGTCCTATTTAGTATACGATTACCAATTCTGTGCATAATTGAAAAATAATTTCGTTAACGTATGGTTGGTTGCAGACTTTGGATGCTGTTGTTGGTGCGATTATTAGGTTATTTTGTACGCTAAAAAGTATGATACATTGCATTCATTGTTTGAGTTATTGCAGTGAGGTCAAATTTTAATCACTGGGTAGTCCATGCTCGTGAATTATATACTTTAACAGATTTGGGACTTGGTAGGTAACGAGAGTGGGTGACCTAATGTCGTAATGTAACGTAATTATTCTCATTTGTTGTGTCCGTAGTAGAAGTAAATTGAATCTGTTTTCGTAAGTGAATTTTAAGGAGCCATTCATTGTGAGATCCTACTCAGTTGATCTGGAGCACCGTAAAAAATTACCAGTTATGACAGTTTACTAGAAATGTTAATTATATAGTTCCACACTACTTACGAGAGCTTTATTTAACTTACAAAATTATAAGAATCTTTATTAGTCGTACAACAGTTATGACATTTTCATTACTGAAGCCACAAGCAGAATTTCAACACGGCATCCCTACAGTAGAATTCTTTTTTGGCAAGATGTTGTAAAACTGTACCAATCTGGTATGTTTCAGTTTTTGTGTTTATTGTCGGTATCCAGCAGTGAGAGGTATTAGGTGTGAGTTCCCACAATCCTATAAACACTTAGGTATATATAGAGTGATTTCGAAATATATGCAGTAAGTGTAACCACGACATCACATAACGTAGTAATGTGCAAATATAAAAAAAAAACAAATTAAATGTCGAAGGGGCAAAACCCCCATGAACCACCGTCGATGCGATGCCACTGATCGACCTTTTAAACAATAGGCGGACAAACGTTGTAATAAAAACGATGTACACACTTTCAGTTTCAATTAAAAGTAAAACTGACTTTTTATTGGTTATCATTCGTTCATTCATGTTTTCGTTCATCCTTAAAAAAGTGAAATTTTTACGCGAAACTTGGTATTAATGTTCTTCAACACAAATAATGAAACCCGTCTTTAAGCATTTTCTAAAATTCGACCCCTAAGGGGATGAAATGTGGAGGCTAAGTTTGTATGGGAAAATATTTCTATTGTATATTTAAATTTTTTCGTGAAACTTGGTATTAATGCTCTTCCAATTTGAAAAAAAAATCGTTAAACATAGGCGACCTGGTGCACAGAAACGCTTGCTTGGTAGTCGGACAATTTAGCGCTAGGGGTTTTTAGTTAGAGGGTTGGTAGAGACAGGGCAGCATGGCGTAGCGTCAGTCTGAATGTGTTTGTGTGAGTGTAAACACGTGGTAAGAGCTAGGGTTAAATTAGTTGGTTTGGTAGTTAATAAAATGAGAGGAAGCCTTTGTTTAACGACAATCAATCGTAGCCAACGTCACTCAGGTGTCCCCAACCCACGCGGTTAATTCTTGCGGCCTTTTAATCGGAAAAATGTGGACTTCCGTTCAACGCGGAACACGTGCTGTAAATTTGTTTCATTGTTTCTAAATTCACCAATCAAGTTAGTGTTTCTTAATCGTCAGCTAGTCGTACTATAAAAATGAAACCTTCACAAGTGAACAAAAGTAATGAAAAAGCTATTCTACAAGCTGCTTACACTCATTTTAAATGGCTAATAATCAACAAAAATCTAAAACTGGTGATTAGGTAAGTCTACACACAGGGATACACACCCAATTGGTCAAATGAAATTTACATAATAAGGAAGACTAATCTCACAAATCCTACGACGTATTTTTTGAAAGATGAGAAAGGTGAAAATCTTTTAGGCGGTTTTTATAAAATGGAACTACCAAAAGTTAGGCATCCGAGTGTATATCTCGTAGAAAAAATTTTAAAAAAGAAAGGTAACCAACTATGTAAAATGGTTAGGTTTTAACAACACGCACAATAGTTGGATTGATACAAAAAGAATAGCATAGTCATATTCTCATCAGTCAGTCAGAATAAGCGGCAAGATGAAGTTGGTTGTAGTCGACGTACAAGGTTTCCATTTGCCAGAGTTCCTTGTAAAAGAACTTACGATTTACGATGGAATTAACACAATACATGAAACTTTCAAACCTACAAAACAATTAAAAGAATTGGACGAAAACATCAAAATACAAGTTAGATATTTACAACAATGTCATCATATGTTGAGATTTAATCATGGCGCCAAGGATGAGACATCTGTTAAACAAATTTTGATCGAATCTGTTCTTTAAATAATGCTTAAAATGTGTTTTATTTAAACGCAAAAAAAACTGTCAGGTGTGGGATTCGAACTCACGCTCCCTTTCGAGAATTAGAGATTAAATCTAACGCCGTAGTCCACTCGGCCAACCTGACTACATTAAATGTTTTTTTTCTAAATACATATTTTCCTACTAAGCTACATGAGATGATGGTCAGGTTACTAGATAATATGTGCAAAACACGACCTAAGGGATCATTAAACCCCCAGGTTAAGAACAAGTACGTACCAACCGAAAATGTCAATGATCGCTGTTCCCGAACCCGGCCGAACAAGGGGTCAGGTCAACCGAGGACAAGACGATGACAAACGCTCGATAAAAAATAATGGAGCTTCAAATTTGTTGAGCTAGAAGCCCCACTATCTAACTACTAATACAGGCTTCAGCACGTTTCAACACTTCCACTTGTTGTTGAAGCTTTTCTATAGTTTCTGGACACGGTGGATTTCCATAAATTAATTATTTCATGCAACCCCACAGACAAAACACACCGATTGAAATTACACGACGTGGAAAGTCAGCGGGCTCCAAAGCTTACACTTTTTGAACGTGGTATGGATATAAGCCTTGTTCAGCTGCAAGTCGGCGAGTGCTGTTGTCGGGCTCTTCTTCGACCCGTTCCAAAATTTGTTCTACAGCTTGCAGTATTCTTTCGATCCTATCACGGCTAGGATTCTGAGTTTGAGGCTTGAAGGTACCATGGTCTCGGAGATGCTGTGCCACTGATGTAAATGTTTGCGCACACGGAATCGCGCTCGATCCACAATTCCTGGGCCAACTTGGCCCATGCACCATTAAGCATTACCATATCGACATGCTCTGAATTGGAAAAATTCACCATTGTCAAAGACGTTAACTGAACACACGACTGCAATGAATTAAAATATGACTGGCCCCTATCGTGTTTTTGCACGTTGCTTATCAGTGTGTCGTTTTTTTGATTCTTAATTGTAGTCGTTGGTTATGGTTTGAAAGTATTGAATTCAAAATTAGAACTTTATGAGATAATGTACATACACTAGAGTGATTAAGAAAATACTGATTAAATTTTATATATTTAAAATATTTCTAGGATGATTTAAAATTTTTACTCCTAATAAAGAACGACTATTTCACTGCTGACTTTAGTTTATTGTCAAGTTATTCCTGGTTACATATCCATTTAATTTTATCAAACACTAGTGAGGTCTGATACTCGAATCAAAATGGGGCCAGGTGGAAATTTCATTATATAGTCGGTCACCAGGACAGCTGGTGTCTTTTTCTTGGCGATGGCCGATCATATGATAATTTGAACGTATGTAGTTCTTTTCTGTACCGCAAGCAAGCAGATCTTTTAATGCGTTCAGCTGGGTTTGTGACGGCGTTGTATCTGAAATATTTTTTATGTTTATTATCATTACAATTAGGTTACTGTTCGTTAAATTTGCCGAGAATAGATTATACTATCAATGGCATGTCTTTTTTATATTCAAAACTCGTTCATTTTTTCGCGAAATTTAAACTAATAGGATCAGCTTTCAACAAACTATGTCCTATAACTATTTCTTTGAAATTTTGTTCCTCTATTACTATGTATTTTTAGTTCAGTTAATTATGACTTGAACGTTTGCAACGAAATTAAGAGTAACTTACTTGTAAAAGCTCCAATAAGAGCTATTCCTATACTTTTCCCATTAAACCTGCGAGCGTGGGAACCAAAGCGTCCCCATCCTCGACCTTCATAAACATTACCATCTCCACCGATCTTGAAAAAAAATAAAATACAATTTCACTTTTAACTACGTTTATTACCAAGAAGTTGTAACCGATGTCATCCCATCGATGTTTCGGGTCGTCCATGTGATAATTCTGTATATTTTTGACTTTCCTTTTGCAAGCGTCTTTAGTAGTACAAACCACTGGATCTTCGGTGTGGTGAACCACGACATACGGAGGAGGGACTTCTCTTAAATTAGTCCTTTGTCTCGGAGCTCTGGCGCCCCAATCTGATCTTGAAATAATTGTAGGGCACGCACCTATAATAAGTTTAATTCGTAAATCGTTTTGACGGAGACAGTGATACTTACAGTGAGCAATATATGGCAATATTGCCAAGAGAAAAATGCTGAAGAACATGTTGTATATGTACAGAACTGTCAAGTCTGCAGCAGCATTATCAGAAATCTTATTTATAGTACGAACGCGAATATAACTCCCCGTTTTTCTGCAAGGGTCATTCTTACTTAATTATATTTTGATAACACTGACACCGCTGTTTTGATTTGATAATGATGTTTTTATTTATAAAAATAATGAGTCAACACATATTACAAATTATTGAAGTACGAAATTTAACGTAAAATTACTTGCGTTAAGATTTTTCTATGATAACGGTGCTGTCTTTTATTCTAGATCTATAAAGTGTGTAAAAATACCTGATGTAAAATGAGTTCGTTTTAATCAGAATTTTATTTGATAAACAGACTTTGTGTTATTTTGATATAATAAATACTAACGAGTAGTGTTATAATGTTTATAAAATAAATAAAATTTGAATTAATAATGAAAAAAAAAACAGATATTTTTGTGCAGGTTAAACCACAAGTTCTAAAATTAAAGCAAGGCAATAACAACGGGCTTACGTAACCTAATTTGTGGAAAATGTCGCGTAAGGCCAGTCTGCAATTTATACGGGTGAAAAGTAAGTACCCAGTGCCAGTTGTCTGCAGAGTATTTTTTCATGTGGTGGGCTCAGAACACCTTTAACCGTGTGACAACGTAAGTCAGTGTGCCTTTTTTAGAAACAGTGGACGCTAGAGCGTGCATAATAATTAGGATAAAAATTCATACAGAGATTTATTGGCACCAGGGCCGGCTCTAAGGGACCAGGCGCCCCGATGCAACTTACTGTTCAACGCCCTCTAAAAAATTTTTGTAAAAAAAAAAATAAAATTTTGTAATCACATATTTTTCTGGAGAGACACTTTTTATTAACAAACATGCATAAAATTATGATGAATCAATCTTAATATATCAAAGTGTTTGTCCTGACTGACAAACTGACTGATTCATCAAAAAAAAAAACAAAAGCAAAAGCAAAGCCTAAACTACTGAATCTACAAATATGAAATTTGGACAGTAGATTCCGTTTGTATCATAAGCACCCATTAAAAAAGTATTTTTGGAAATTCCGTCCTTACGGGGACAAAATAAAGGATGAAAATTTATGTAGGAATCTCCTGAGTTTTTAAGTTAGACGGGTTCACTGGGGAGGGGGGAGTGAACGAGATGAAAAATTTTTCAATTTTTAATATCGTAAAATTGATACGATTTCAAACTTAAATAAATTATTTAATTTGGACTTACTTGAATATTAATCGAAATTTAAATTAAAAATTAATGACGACAAAGAGCCAAAGAATGATACACAGAACCAAATTCGGCTACAAACAGGAACAGTAAAAAATATAACAAAACTGTTGAACAACCACCACAACTAACCCGCTAGACTTGGAAAATAATTTTTTTAAGTATGTGCCAACATGGAGTTTTATGGTAAAAACAAACGTGACAATGTTAGGAAAAACATCTGGTTTTGGTCATACCGCTGTCTCGTCAAATTGTTACCCAGATAATGCAATCATAAATCTGGTTATTTTTTGTCGGTATGCTGTTCCTGCTATAATATTTTGTACGTCCTGATTCAATGCAAATCTAATATTAATTTATTTCTGTAAAGTTGATATAAAAGCAAAGGCGGCTTTTGCCGCCCGGCGCCCCTTGTCACGGGCGCCCCGATGCGGTGCATCTTTCGCTTACCGTGTTGAGCCGGCCCTGATTGGCACTGTAGTAATTGGTAAATTGTATTTAATATTTATTTAATTAATCTCCAAAGAAAATTAAGCGGATGGTTCAATGTATTTTTTTTTTATAATTCCGTATTAGGTTCAACTAAATGCTTTAAGCATTAAAACAAAAGCAACTGTAATGAGATATGACTTTTCTCATTTTATTTTTTATGAAATATTTACATAATGATTTTTTAAGACACCGGAATCAGTTTCCTGGAAGGGATAAATCAATAAATTTTAATTAATATTCAGTAATCCTTAAATCAATGTTCGTGGCGTCTCAAAATTCTATTCGCTAATTTGCAAAATTTTATTAGTTTAATTTATTTATTTTCCATGTTTTGAATACTTTTTTTTAATAAATTGATTCAAATTTTCAATAAGATTTTCTCCATATGCTTAATAAACCGTCATTTCATACAAGTCTACAAGCAGGCACTAGTCGTCTTTTAAGTTCTACGGAATATACGTCTCTAACAGTCCGGCAAAAACCTAGTGATTTTTTATGATTATTGACATCGGTTGGTATTATGGCTTGTTGTTTTGTTACTGACAAGTGAAGCTAGAATACTCAATTTAAGATAATTGTTAAAATACGTATGCATTATTTGGGGCTTAAATAAACTAAATAACGTATGTAATATAAAAAACTCCTGTAAGAGCTATGGACAGTTGTTTACACATTATCTTTTCCAAAATTACAGATTGTCCAAAACAAAATATAATCAAAGACAATTTTATTTAGTGACCTGTAGCTAGAATTTATGGAAACGGTTAAAAATCTTGAGAACCAATTGTACATATCAAATGAAATTAGGTATAGGGGTACAAGAAGTTGTTCTCTAATTATTCGTCAAAAATATTTTTTTACTTCCCGAGCGTAAGCTAAGGAAAATTATAAAATAAGAATTATAATGTTCATAACATTTTGTTCGATGGTGGTTTAATTAATAGTTTTAGTCCTCTATTTTGAGAAGACAAACACATTCAAATGAATAGAGAAATATGGATTTTACAATTACGCTCCGCCCCTCGGTCTAACAACGAATGAAAAATTCATCACAATTGAGATAGGGGCGGGTGGGTGGGGCTTAATTTTTGTTTTTTTCTTTTATTATACAGAGTTCTATTTCCACAACAGGATAATTAAACATATTGCCAGTTTCTTGTTAGGAAAAAAAGACTTCCTATGTTAATAAAAAATGGACCAAATAGAAACCCCGCCCACCCGCCCGTTCTAAATTATGATGAATGCTTTATTCATCATGAGTTGAAGAGCGGAGCTTAGTTGCAAATTCTTCATTTCACTACAAGAAATTGCCATATGAAATATGTTTTTAAAAGAGTAAAATTTTCTAGAGAAACAATATGTTACAATTAAACTCCGCCTCTCGTCTGATTAGGAATGAAAAACTCATAACAGCTGAGATCGGGGTAGGTGGGTGGGATTAATCTTTGTTTTTTTTTCTTTATACCTATACATACTTTTCTTTCAACAATTTTTTGCCGCAAAGAACAAGAGATATTATAATAAAAAACATAAAGTCAATCTATTATTCAATAATCTCGGACTCCTAACTGAAAAATCTAAAAATTGAAAAATTGAAAATTGAATATTCGTGAAATTTCAAATCGACAAACTGCAAAATCTAAAAATTGAGACGTCCAAAGGTTGGAAAATCGGAAAACTGGAAAATTTAAAACTGAAAATTCGAAGAGATATCGTAAAATTAAACAAAAAAAAACGAAGAATTGCAAATTGAAAAACTGACGAAACGAAAAATTAAAAAAAAAGTTAAATTGAAAAAACAAAAAATTATATAAACGGAACATTGAAAAATTGTAAAAATAAAGAAAATAAAAGACTGGAAAATTTAGAAATTGAATTTAAAAGTTGAAAAATTGAAAAATTAAATTTAAACTTCAAAACTCGAAAAAATGGGACAAAAAAATAAAAAATTGAAGAAAAAATTCAGGTCAGATAAGCTGCTGGAACGTTATTTACGCCACTGGTTTTTACTTTATAGAGGTTATCAGAAAACAAAAATCGCAAAAAATGATAATTTTTCAGAGAAATGAGATTTATTTGGCTGCACTTACGGGGCGAGGGAAGTTCTGTTGAAATAACCTTCGACCAATTTTTTTGCTTCAAATGGCACTACCATATAATTAATACATTTTTGAATAGACCTTTTTTCTGAATTCATGGATGGCAAAATAAATTATTTTAAATAAGTATAAATAAAAAAAGAAAGGAAGCATTCATTCAGAAATTCTCATTAACTCACTACAAAATTTTATTCAGCGTCTTTGTTACGGCCCTGAAGTAAATGGAGAGACTTTTGAGCATCTTTTGTAGAAAACAGAACTTTAATTTTGGTTTTGGTTGTTATTGGTTAATTTATTAATTGTTTAATATTATATAAAATTAATAATTATTAATTTATTTAATTATCGTTTAATAATTTATTTTGAAATTTCAATCAGAAAGAAACTATGACTGCTACATCAATGAATTCAAAAAAAGAGCTCTATTCAAAAATGCATTAATTATATAATAGTGCCATTAAAAAAAAACTCGAAAGCAAACGAAGCAAAAAATATTTTTTTTTGTCAAATAACTAGAGCACAAATTCTTGTGCCCCTATACCTAATTTCATTTGATTTGTACAATTGGTTCCTAAGATAATTAAGCGTTAATTGTATAATTGACAAAAACATTTTGTGTACAACTGGACTAGAAGATACGTTTGCTTGATACATACTATTTGCAAAATAAATTCATTTGATACGCAAAAGCCTATTTTCTGGCGTTAACCGTTAGCGATTGTTTTAAATTCGCGCTGCCTATGAAAATCTGATATTTTAGTTGGCAGTATTGCCATTTGGCATAATATATTTATTTTAGGTTATAACCAGGCTTCGGCATTGCGGAAGTGATATTCATTGCCGTCTGATCTCCAGCCCTATTGCAGTCGTGGTCTACAACTTCGGGCATTCTTAATAACAATTTCTACTTTTTCTAGGTTTTCCTCAGTTATACGAGTTCTTGTAGATGTTAAATTTGCTTTAAAAATTAAAAATGACTGTTCAAGATCACAATTTTCGTGATGATCTTGATCAGATAAACCTTGAAGTCGTATTTGAAATTGATTCCCCATCACTTTGGCTTTGCCTAACTCTGGTTATAACTAATGACAACCGAGCATGGCTTCCGGTATTAAATTAGCTAAATTAATGACAGCAAGCTGAGTATTTTAAAAAGAATATTATTTGACAGGATCTGACGTCAACGTAATAAAAAAATGTCTTGGACTACTGCGTGTTTAAAACAATCGTGAACGTCAAGTGTTTAATGTGAACATTTGAAAAAAAATTCTCTAAAGCTATTAAAACTTTGTACATTTCTTAAATTTTGGAATAAAGTGAGTCATTAACTAAATGTTGGAATAAGCAGTCTTTCTATTCTTTGAGAAATTTTTTATTCATTTTAATTATAATTTTTTTTTCATTTCATAGTTCCTAGAATTTGAAAAAGTAGATCTTCTTTTTTCCTCTGTCTGTCACCTATTGATGATTTCATCAGATAAGTCGTATTGTAAACTACCGAGCAGATTGTTCGAAATTTTAGACTTACTTTCAGTATATCGTGAAGATTTTGAAACGCACACTAAAAATAAAATGACACACAAAATTTTGTTAGGCAAATCGTATTTAAAATCTACAAAATTATACCTCTATGTACCAATATTTTGTTATAAGTACAACTTTATTCCTAACATTGCGCATGTAATTTTTTTGGAAAAAAAATCAAAATTGTACTATTTAACGTAGAAATTGTAAAGCTAATGGCATGCAGTTTATTCGTACATCAAAATTTTGAAATTATCTGCAGGCAGTGTATGAATAAATTTTTTTGATCTTGCCTAAAATTTCGCAGAAGGCCGTCATGTAATTTTTGAGAAAAAATATTATAGGAAAACGTCATCAGTTTTTTTAGTAGGGACGGTTAGATAAATTTTGCTCAGCTTTTTTTATTAAAAATAACTCCACCATTTTTCAAGATGGAGATTCGGAAAGAAGACCTTGAACTTTGTTTGAGTTTTTATGTAAATGTTAAAGCAAGGTGACCAAAAAGTTCTGTGCAAAATTGCAAATTTCCTTCTTTAAAAATGGTAGAAATATGAATTTTTAAATGTGACCATTTTTTCCCCATAAGAATGAACTGACTCGCAAAGTTTTTTTACCTTTGGGACAGCTATATACCTATGTGAAGAACGATATTTTTTTACTTAAATAAATAAAAAATAAAATTCTGGTGGAGATGAAATAAACCCTTATTTAAGAATTTGATGGTTCCAAAATTGAAACGCATGATTAATCTAGTGTGAGAAAAACAAATAAAAACGAGTTTCTCTATATATTTTTCTATTTTTCAGTTCATCGAGGAAAGACTGGCGATGTTAAACAACGGCCTCGGTTTTTCCGACGAATTCGAGATGGAAACTTTCCGATACTCTGTGCAGTCAGGCTCCAAATTAAAACAACAGTACAAAGACTGGACGTCCACGATGAAAAAAGAAGGTTCCGCTTTTTTCAAAAGTGTAAAAGAGAAGGTAAACAAGCACACATTCCATCCACATATCTAATTTGTGCTAATGTTTTGTTTTCTTTCCGTTTCGTCGTCGTTTTGCAGGCTAACCCGGCTGTTAAGTCCGCTGTCAAAACGGTGAGTTTTGGCTTTTAGTATTTTTACTTTCTCCTCTTAGTGTAGGATTGCATGGGTTTGAACTTTGTTTTGCTCAGACTAAAGGTCAATCAAGGTCGCAAGGGTGTCTCGCGTGTATAACACAACGTTATAATGTTATGAATAAATGAAAGTTGGGGGTGACGAGAGGGGAGAGGCAGCAGAATGCGACCTTATTAAAAGCATCCGTTTAGAATGTGAAGCGAAGATGTGTCGTAGTACTGGATAAGCGTTTATTTGATAGTATTTCCGGTTCTCGTTACTATAATCGCTTTTAATAGCGTGAAGAATTTGATTTATGAAGTCGAAATACGATTTTGTATTTGTCGTTCTCACAAAGTTGGGTTGCAAAAAATTGAAAAGTAAAGTGGTTACTCATACGTAAAAGGTGCAACTGTGTAGTACACTTTTTGACAAATATTTGTTTCGGGTCAATATGTTGGTAGCACTGATAAATAAGTTCTCGTTTAAAAAAATTAGATTTGCGTTAACTAACGTAAACAGTTGCGATAACTGATGGTAAATAATCACATAAAAAAGTGATTATCTAAAGTAAAATTTTCGACGATGCTTAGTACTGGATCGAAAGACCTGTTTGAACTAGCAGAGAATTTTTTTCGACCTACTATGTTTGAATGTACATTTCGGTATTTAAAAATTTCATGTGCATTTGCATTGCATTAAAAAACAATAAACAGGGTGACGCCACTGTAAGCTTTACATTTGAATTTATACGTCATATCATAAATATGTAAATAATACTTTAATATTTTTCGGGCAAATATTTGCCGGGGATCAATAAAAGTGTGAAACGGAGCATTGGTGTGGAATGTTATAAGCGAAAGCTATTTTAGACTTTTTATTGCCCCATCTGACGATAAATTTTTTAATTTGTCTTTATCGGCAACAATAAAATTGATTCCCGATGAGTTCTTCAGTCCCAAAGTCTCGCCTCTTTCGTCAGAGTGAAAAATGTGCGTCATTTATTCCGGATTGTCATTTCCGGTGGTCCGGAGTTAAAATAGGAGACTATATCACGGTGAAGATCGCAATTTATGATGGGCTGGCGGGAAAAAATTATCGTTACTGTAAGAGTGAAGTGTCTTTATCGGGGGAGGATTTTTGAGAATAATTTATCTTGTTACAGTTTAGATTCATCGTAAATATTTATTGCACGCTGGGAGACTACTTTTTTATGGAATAAAAGCGCGTTTGGGTGAAATACGACGTTAAAAGTGAAGTTATTGTTAAAGTGACGACTGCAGACAAAAAGTAATTGTGTTGGTATTTTCATTCGTATTTTATTTTATTAAATTTCACGCCCTTGCCTTGTGTGAAGATGTTTGACGTCATTTATGTTTTTTCCAACTCTGTGTGCGCAAGCAAAGGTGATACACAGAACGCTGCTTGCGTGATCATTAATCATGTATTTGATCAAGTCGCCAAAAAATTTCTTCGAAATTGTCTCTTAATCCGGTCATTTTTAGATTCGTATAGATAAAAAAAAACTCAGTAGTAATTATCTTCAAACGAATTATATAATGTTATATCCCATTAGATCATCCAATTGTCATTTTATCTAATAATAATAATTATTATTATAATTCGTAACTTATAATTAATTTCGGTTTGGGAAATTCCTGTTCATTTATTAATAGTGAGTGGTGTAAAACTAATGATATTATTAAACAACTTGGTTTCAAATGATATTAAATATTCATTAATCTTACTTCCCGTGTAACGAAAATCGATCGAATATTTTACTCGTAAATGAGAAGTGCATTTTCACGGTACGTTTTCACGTCAATATAGACCAAAATATTCGTACAATTATGTGTATATTAAGATTCCTAATAAATTGTTCAACTTTAAACTTAATAAAATAAATTGTTGCAGTAATTTACTTGCCGATTTAATTAAATTTTCTCGCACGTTTAATTATCGGTATATTTGCCAAGCCCTTGAGAAATCAGAGTTCACTTTTGGAACATCTATGAAACTGTTTCGTGACAAAACCGGCTTTAATTTCACTGAAATATTTGCTGACCTACATCTACACAACATATTCCAAGTGCCTTACCATGTGTCGCTATATTTCCTAGAGATCGTTACATTTTACAGCTCTACTTTGTGATAACCGAAATTTTACTACCGATTTATCATTTCCTGTACAAATGGTTCGCTGCTTTCTTAGACATGCCTAAATCGGATTGTTTTTCCGTTGGTAGATGGATCCCAAGTTTCTTGCGCACTTCTCGAGTTTCATCTAAACAGAGACTACAGAGCACTGTTGTGCTATTTGCAATAAGTGTCATTACTCTTGGTGTAACCTTTAGCGTGCCATGTCTTTGAACGGAAACCAGACGAGAAATACTTCCGTAATTACTGCACCGTACGTCGTAACGTTCTGACTAAGAACAGAGGCATTTTTCTTAGCTGAAGACGATGCAATTTCAGTCAAGAAAATCTAGCAAAAGTAGGTATATTTAAACGTCAGAGTTAGGTTGGTTTGCGACCAATAGCTGCTAATATTTAGTAACAAGGAATTAAGTCTATATTGAAAAATGTGGGGCATACATGATAACATTTGTGTTATATGCCGATCGATGTAAGGAAAGAAAGCGTCGAAAATGTTCAATCACATTCGGGTCAGCGCTAGGTTGATAGCAGCAAGTCGTTGAATACAATACAGAATACAAATTGTTATTGATATAAAATTATTTAAAGTAAAAAAAAGTAAAAAACAAACTACGTATTTTTAAAAATCCGGTGTTAAATGTATTTACTGTACAGTTTTTTTTTTTGCATATAAAAACTTTATTAACAGAGTGCTTACCAAGAAGTTGATCTATTTTTGCAGTAATTTAATTTTCTAAAAAATCATTTGCTCAACAACGTTGTTTTTTCGGTTGCGTTATATAACAAAAAATTAAATGTTTACAACGGTAAATGTTAGTTTTAATAACGGGACTAATCCCCTTTAATGTAGCCTGTTTGTGAAATATACATTAATTTTATACAAAGAAGTGTTCAGTTAACCATGATTTGAAAGCACATTGTTGGAAAGCAATTTTTTTAACGGTGTAAGAATCGTAGTCATTTATTTAATTAAAAGCTTTTAATATTAAAGTTCGTCATTTTTATATAATTTGTCGTTCTTTGGTTCTGATCCTGCAATAACTGACCCAAGGAGATCCTTTACCTGTCTTAAATATCCATAACACAAGGGATGATACCTTGACTTTATGAAGGTTTTATGGCAGCTAAGCTGATGGTGGAACAACTGTACTAAATGTATACAAGTTTTTTATTAAGCGATTACATGATACAAAAAAATATGTAGCATATCCAACATTAAATTACACTGAATCCCATGCTTTTAATCGTAAAGGTAGAAGGTGAACAAATTTATTAAAATGAAAATAACGTAATTAAAAAACCTTTAATATGCGGCAAGTGAAAGTAAACACACAAAAAACAACTCCCACGTAATCCATTCAGTTGATTTTCAGTCTTTTAACAGATTAAAAGTGTTTGAAGTCATTTTTACAAAAGTTTCCTCCCCCAGTAAACATTCATGGGGACATGGGGGTTCGCCGCAAGTAACTCAAATTAAATTTTTTGATAAAGCAACATCATCCTTGGCTGGCAAAAAACCGGCCACCTAGAAATATTTCGAAAACCACTTTAAAAGTTACTTCTATATTTTAACAAGTGTGTTTATTTGTCTCTTTTTTTTGGCTAATTTGTACTTCCTGCGTCAACAGGGTATAGTTCTTTAAAAAAAATAACAATCACAAGTTAAATTAATATTACTCCCCAAGCGTAAGTTAAGGAAGTATGTATTGTAATCGAGTCCATCGGGCGAATTGCCACTTTCATATTTTTTCATTTGGACGTTTTGTTCACACCGTTACCATGGAAACCGTGCGTCTAGACGCGGTATTTATTCAGCTGGAATCGGGTCCTGCTCCAACAGTGATCACTACCAATAACTTACGTGAGTTGCGGGATTTCATTTTCATTCTGCGCGAGCAGCAACCGACAGTATCATTATAGAGTCAAATTTAGGGAAATCCAAATAGAGATTTATTAATAAAAAAAGTGTTCATGACAAAACGAGATACTTTCATAGATATTTTAATAGACATAACAAATGCATAACAAGTATAGTAAATTTTTGTGAATGTGCAGTTGTGAAAAAAATAATAAATTGATTTGTTTTGTTTTGTAGAAATCCTTTTTTCCGTACGTCGACGTTCAAACTCGGCTTTTTTTATTTTGTAAATCTTGCTAACCATCGCAAAATTACATATAAGTCTCTTGATAATCCTGGATTTTTACTTGAAATTGGTATCATGATGTTTTCTATAATTTCTGGTTGTCAGCTGTCAAGGGTTATTATTTGCAAAATGTGTCCAAAACATAACCTAAATTTATCGCATGTGACAATTGACATATCTGTCACACAATTACTTCTGACAGACTCAGTCATTTCTACTCACGCGGTACTAATTAAATTAATTAATAAAAATTATGAAAATGCCAAGTTTTTTTAAACGGCTCAATTCAGTATGTCCAACATCAGAATATTTAGTGTCTGGCTAGTTGTTGGAACAATTAAGGAAAAAACCTCTATTAAGCTGCAAGAGCGGGTGACTATTAATGATTGAAGCAAATTTTAGAGTTGGCAACTCTGAATTATTGACAGTTGTCAATTTTGACATCGTGAGTGTACCTAAAATAACCAATGAGAAAATGGCAGCCACTGAATTAGTACACAAAATTTCAATTTAATATCAGGTATGCCATCATAAAATTTTAATTATGTTGCCAACCTGACAAAAAATTCACAAACATTAATAGTGACTCGGTATTATAATTCAATAACAAAAATGACATTTTGTCCGTAAATAAAGAATTAATTGTTAGAAGAATTTAATTGTATTGACGAAAGAAATATTTTTATTATTTATTAACTTGAGTAATCCTTACATGTAACTAGATTGCAAAAAACTTAACAAAACGTAATAGAGCAGATTTTTAGAGTTAATTTTATGATAGGTAATAATTCTCGGAAACAAATTAAGATGTTACGGAGTGACTATCAAAAATAAAAAATTAAAGCAAATTTGTGTGTTGGCAATTCTGAATTATTGGCAGCCATGCTAGTGTATTAGTTCACAGTTGTCAATTTTGCCATGAGTACACCTAACAAACGTATTGATTGGTTGAGCTAATGACTTGGTATCATAAATATCAATTTGACAACCATGTAAGCCATCATAAAATTTTGGATTTGTCACCAACTTGACAAAAAAAATCACAAGCATTATAATGTAGGGTCTATCCGACGAATCGCTCCTTCCAGGTTTTCTTGACGCTCTCGACCCCGAGAATAAGGTTATTATACTTCCTTAGTTTACGTTCGGAAAGTAAAAAAGTAGGTCTCCCGTTTCCGTCTGTCTGTCGCCTGTGTCATTTTTTATTAGACAGATAATTTCCGAAACTACTGGATCGGTTGTGATCAAATTTTATGCGTATGTAAGGGATATCGTCTAGTAAAACGCCAACCAAAGTGTCTAATCTCCAAAATTTACAATAATACGTTGTTTAAATTTTATATTTTCTGCACGTTTAGTTTATGAACCCGTGTTGAGCTTTTAGCCTAGATATTCAGATTTAAAAAATTGGTCGAAAGTTGTTTCGGCAGAACTTCCCTCGCTTCTGAAATACAATGATAATTTTTTTTAGTCACCCTGTATACGCAAATCCAAAAAATATTAGTGGAATGTCAAGTAGACTTATCATATTTTGAACATTTTAGCTAGGATTAATTCAGCAAAATTTTGGGGTGACCTCATCAATTTTTTAGGGGGGATGAGTAAATACATTTTGATCAAAAATTTACCATGCTTATGATAACTTAAAACACCTCCAAGATTTCAAAGCATTCGGTTTTGTAGTTTCTGATTAAATCAATAAAATAAATTTATGCATTCCTGGGTAGATTCGAAAACATGATGGTATTGTGCTCACTCAAGCAAAAAGTTCTCGTTATTTTTTTTGAGATGACTTCGTCAATTTTTGGAAGTGGATGAGAAGTTTGAATTCTAATTAATATTATAATAAAATTTCGTACTCTTCTTACTGTTAAGAAAAAAGGAAAAATATAAGCCGCGCCCAGCCAAAGAAGGGGAATTTAATTGCAAAATCCTTATTATTTCTCTACAAGAAATTACCATGTAAGACATGTTTTTGAGTATCATGTTATTCAAAAAAACACTTTGTATATTAAGAAAAAATTAAAGCCAAAGATTAAGCCCCACCCATACCCTGCCTTGATCTAAATAGAGTTAAGTTTTCATTCGTTGGCAAACTTACAAAAATGTCAAATCATTTTAAACGTGTTTTAAGTTTCTAAGAATAAAAAAAATCATCACAATTGAAAAAGGGCGTGTGGGCGGGCTTATATTTTGTTTTTCTTTTATTTTAATACGTGCAGACTACTTAGGCTCCGCCCCATAATTGCAAAATCCATATTTCCTTGCAAATATGTACCATTTTAACCATGTTTTAAGTTTCTTGTTGTGAAAAGATGGCTGTGTATATTAAGAAAAAAAAGGCAAAATATAAACTCCACTCCAGACTCAAGTGTGATGAATTTTTCATTCGTTGTCAGACCAAGGGGCGGAGCCTAATTACAAAATCGATATTTCCTTATACAAATTTTCCATTTTAAACATGTTTTTAATTCATGTTGTGAAATGAAGTTTACACATATTAAAACAAAAAGGAAAATTGAAGCCCTATATTGTGATGATTTTTTTTATTCTTCGTGAAACAAGAAATTAAAACATATTTTTGAGTATCGTGTTCAAAGAATACTATATAATACTATTAGGAAAAAAAAAGGCAAAATATAAACCCCGCCCACCCGCCCTATCTCAATTCTGGTGATTTTTTTATTCGCTGTTAACCAAGAGGGCGGCTTGACTGCAAAATACTTATTTTTCTTTACAAGAAATTAAAAACACGTTTTGGAGTAGTGGCAAATTTTTTTGAAGAAATATGGATTTTGCAATTAGGCAGGTATGGGTGGGGCTTAATCTTGGGCTTTATTTTTGTCTTAATTTACATAGTATTTTTTGGAACTTAAAAACGTGTTTTTAATTTCTCTTAGAGAAATAAGGATTTTGCGGTCAAGCTCCGCTCCCTTGGCTCACAATGAATAAAAAATCATCACAATTAAGATAGGGTGGGTGGGCGGGGCTACATTTTGCCTTTTTGTTTTAACATGTGTTGACTTTTTTTCACAACATGACATAAAAACATATTTAAAATGGAAAATTTGTATAACGAGATATAGCAATTATGGGGCGGAGCCTAATTGCAAAATCCATATTTCCTTGTAGAAATGAACCATTTTAACCATGTTTTAAGTTTCTTGTTGTGAAAAAATGGCTACGTATATTAAGTAAAAAGGCAAAATAGAACGGATAAAAATATTGAAAATCTGTAAACGCCACTGCTTTTACCTTAAAGGGAGGGAACCTGAATTTAACATTGGAAATATAACGCCTAACGCATATATGCATCAGATTTGCGTTGTGTCCCTCATCAAGCTAAAAACACGTTTACAGAATTTCAATACTTCTATCCGTTCTAAAGGTATAAGCATATGAAGTTTTATATAGGACACCTGTATATTATATTATAATTTTTTTTTAAACAATCATTTATTTGTACATGTAGGTACTTATTAGCTTATTACTTAGCTGAACAAACACATGCTTTTTGTTGACTTGTTCATTTAGTCTGTGACCCAGACATAAAATGTGTTATATGAGAGGTTAATTTTGAGTACTTTCTTTTATTTATTCAAAAAAAAGTATGCATGTTTCTCTTCATTTGTTAAAATCAATGAATGTATTTCAAACTCATTTAGTGTATTTGTTTTTGGCTTTGTGATTATTGTTTATGCGAAATGATCAATTTATTTATTTGAATTTTTATTCTCGTAGAATGCGAATGTCGGTCGGTTGGATACTTTTAATTTTTAGAAGTGTTGTACAGTTTTGAACTTAAAAAACACTAACTGTTCATAGCAAAATAATGACGAAAACCCAATTTAAAGTGCAGTGTGACATTCACTTTTACCCGTGCCAGAATGAGTTACCACTGCGAAATTTTAATACAACAATAACATTAATTTATGGATCAGATTATTCCTTCCAGAAATTTTATTCATCGCCTGAAAAAAGTTATGAAATTTTTACCAAAAACCACACGCTGAGACCGATTTTACTTGCGCTTCAGTAATGTTCTTATATTTTACAGAATTGCTGCCAGGGGGTATCTGAAAAAAATTAATTTGTAAACCCACTGATTTTATCGATTATCTCAAAAAAGGTTAAATAATTTCCTCAAGGGGAGAGACGTTCTCTGCAAATACCTCTCCAGATTTTTTCTAAATCACGTTATTCATTGTTGATTACAGTATATCGATTCCTAGAAATATTATCTTCCTTATTTGAAATTTGTAAACTTAACACCTACATCAAGCTTATTAAAAATCCTATTTCTTTGTCACACTGAAAGCTTACTCAAGTCATTTCTTAATCACCAGGTGAAGGATGGCGGTAAGGGTATGAAAAGTGCCTACCGAGGTCTCCGCTCCCGCTTGAAAGAGAACCAAGGACCTCAGCAGCTTCAAAACGGCCTGGACAGTCCGAACGACAAACCTCGTTCAGCCCCCAACTCGCCAACAGGCAAACGACGGACATTCGGCGGTATCATTGTTCCGACGGCCAACCACCGGAAAGACGGGACGACGTTATCGTTCAAAAGTTCAGGATTCGAAAGGTCAGTGCAGAACCGCCGCCGCCGCCATTAAATGAATTCGTGAATAGATGCGTTCGTTTTTACCTTTTGAACACCACTGGCGTAATGCGGCAAGGTATCAGACGAAAGTCGTAAACCGACCGAATTGTTTCTGGTTTTGTACTGTTCTTTGCGAAGACGCTTTAGACTTGCAGACTGTGTAGGTTTGGGGGTGGAAGTGGAGGTGAGGGTTACTTTGTATTCATGGTCGTGCAAGATGTGAAATTTGAATGAGGGTTATTTGGAGTCAAGTCGAGACGGTTAGTGCGGAATAGTGTTCACTATTCGCTGTACGTGAAAAGGAAATCGTCATAGAGTGGACAAGAGAGGCATAAATTGGATTTATTGTTTTGTGGAGTGTGTCGATTGTGTTGAAATAGAAAGATCGGGCTAGCATTAGTGGTATTTCGAGGGTTTGCTGCGAAGAGATGAGGTTGTAAAATAATTTCTGACTTCTTACCACATACAATTGAAAAGTAGCATGCAGAGGGTTAAGAGTTTTTCAAATAACGTTTACTACACTGAGTATTGCAGGTGATATAGTGGAATTTCGAGATGCGGTAACAAGTAAAGTAATGTCAATTTGAATGGTAAAATTATAGAGCGGATTTATAAGCACATATGCAATTTACCTCTTCGAACTTGCCAAAATGAGATTAATTTTGGCAAGTTCTAGCCCCGCCCACCCGCACTTTATTTTCCTGGAGAATATGTTCCTTACCAAAATCAGTCTTATCTTGGCAAGTACTAACCCCGCCCACCCGCCCTTTATTTTCTTAAAAAAATGCCTTTGGAAATTTTCGAAATGTTCTGTTTCAGAATCAAATTTTTGAAATACGCCAAACTTTGCCTTATTTCATTCATTTTTGAGATTCTTTGTAAGGTCGTAGGAATTTTCGAAGAAATAACCCTTCCAAAAAATTCTGGAAATCGAAATCAAGAAAAGAATCTCTCTTCGTAATTTCCAGAGGTGCTGTGATGCCAGACAAGATTTTCGAAAGATACTTTTTCAAATTCAAAATTTCACAAAAATTACCTGATATCATTTTGGCAATTTTCGAAAACTGGTAGGAATTTTCGAATAAATGAAGCCAAAAAAATTTAGAAATTGAAACGAATAAAAAAATATCTTTTAGTAATTTTCAAAGGCGTTATTCTTCAAGAATAAGAGTTTCGAAATATTCTATTCAAATTCAAATTTTTTAAATGTGCCAAGATTTACCTTAAATTCATTTTTGGGACTCTGGAAAAATGGTACGAATTTTAGAAGAAATAAAACCCAAAAACAATTCTGAAAATTAAAATCAACAAAAAAAATCTCTATTGGTAATTTCCGAATGTGCAAAGTCCCCGGACCAAGATTTTCAAAATATTCTGTTTGGAATGAAATTTTAAAATATTTCAAAAATCGCTTCATATTTTGATAATTCTTGACAAATAGAAAGCATTTTCGAAGAAATGAAGCCGAAAAAAATTCTGGAAGTCGAAACCAATAAAAAAATGTTTGAAACATGTCAAAATGTTCCTTATTTTATTCATTTTTGAGATTCTTGAAAGGTCATAGTAATTTTCAAAGAAGTACTAACTCCACCCAAAATTCTGGAAATCGAAATCAACGAAAGAATCTCTTTTGGTAATTTCCGGAGGTGCTGTGATCTCAGACCAAAATTTTTGAAACATGCTCTTTCAAGTTCAAGTTTTAGCCCCGCCCACCTGCCCTTTATTTTCTTAGAGGGTAGATCATTTGGTAAAATCAGTCTTATCTCAGCAAATACTAGCCCCGCCCACCCACCCTTCATTTTCTTAGAGTGTATGTCACTTGGAAAAATCAGTATCATCTTAGCGCGCTTTATTTTCTTAGAGAGTAAGTCCTTATGGGATTAGTACGTGCCAAGATAAGATTGATTTTGACAAGGTATGTACTCTATAGGAAAATACAGGGCGGGCGGACCTGGAGCTATTACTTGCTAAGATAAGACTGATTTTGTGAAATTACCCTCTGAGAAAATAAGTAGCAGGTGGGCGGGGCTTGAATTTGCCGAAATAATATTGATTTTGGCAAGGTCTAGCCTCTCCCACCCGCCCTTTATTTTCTTAATGAGTACGTCCTTTGCCAAAATCAGTCTTATCTTGGCAAGTACTAACCTCGCCCACCCGCCCTTTATTTTTTCAGAGAGTAGGTCATTGGTCAAAATCAGTCTTATCTTGGCAAATACTAGTCCCACCCACTGGACCTTTATTTTCTTAATAAAATGTGTTTGAAAATTTTGGAAAGTTCCAAGATTTTCGAAATGTTCTATTTCAGAATCAAATTTTTGAAATATGCCAAAATTTGCCTTTTTGAGTTTCTTTCTAAGGTCGTAGGAATTTTCGAAGAAGTAACCCTCCCAAAAAATTCTGGAAATCGAAATCAAGAAAAGAATCTCTCTTCGTAATTTCCAGAGGTGCTGTGATGCCAGACAAAATTTTCGAAAGATACTTTTTCAAATTCAAAATATCCCAAAAATTACCTGATGTCATTTTGGCAATTTTCGAAAACTGGTAGGAATTTTCGAATAAATGAAGCCAAAAAAATCTAGAAATTGAGACCAATAAAAGAATATCTTTTAGTAATTTTCAAAGGTGTTATTATTCAAGAATAAGAGTTTCGAAATATTCTTTTCAAATTTAAATTTTTGAAATATCCCAAAATTTCCCTTAGGAATTTTCTAAGAAATGATGCCAAATAAAATTCTGAAAGTCGTACTCATTAGAAGAATGTTTTTATTACTTTTCAAAGGTGCTAAGGTTCAGGAATAAAATTTTCGAAATATTCTGTTCAAATTCAAATTTTTTAAATGTGCCAAGATTTACCTTAAATTCATTTTTGAGACTCTGGTAAAATGGTACGAATTTTATAGGAAAGAAAACCCAAAAACAATTCTGAAAATTAAAATTAACAAAAAAAATCTCTCTTGGTAATTTCCGAATGTGCTAAGTCTCCGAACCAAGATTTTCAAAATATTCTGTTTGAAATGAAATTTTTAAATATTTAAAAAATTGCATCATATCATTTTGATAATTCTTTACAAATAGAAAGCATTTTCGAAGAAATGAAGCCGAAAAAAATTCTGGAAGTCGAAACCAATAAAAAAATGTTTGAAATATGTCAAAATTTTCCTCATTTTATTGATTTTTGAGATTCTTAAAAGGCCGTAGTAATTTTCAAAGAAGTACTAACTTGCCCCAAAATTCTGGAAATCGAAATCAACGAAAGAATCTCTTTTGGTAATTTCTGGAGGTGCTGTGATCCCAGCCCAAAATTTTCGAAATACACTCTTCCCAGTTCAAGTATTAGTTCCGCCCACCCGCCCTTTGTTTTGTTAGAGTGTATGTTACTTTGAAAAATCAATATCATCTTTTCTTAGCCCCGTCCCCATAGGTCCTTATGGGGTTAGTACTTGCCAAGATAAGATTGATTTTTGCAAGAGATTTGCTCTCTAGGAAAATAAAGGGCGGGTGGGCGGGGCTAGCATTTGCGAAGGTAAAATTGATTTTGGCAAAAGACGTATCCACTAAGAAAATTAAGGGCGGGTGGGCGGGGCTAGTACTTGCTAAGATAAGACTGATTTTGTTAAATTACCTTCTCAGAAAATAAATGGCGAGTGGGTGGGGATAGAACTTGCCAAGATAAGACTGATTTTGGTAAGGGACGTACTCTGTAGGAAAATAGAGGGAGGGTGGGCGGGGCTAGTACTTGCGAAGATAATATTGACTTTGGCAGAGGATGTACTCACTAAGAAAATAAAGGGCGGGTGGTTGGGGCTATTACTTGTTCAGATAAGACTGATTTGTCAAATTACCCTGTGAGAAAATAAATGGCGAGTGGGAGGGGCTTGAATTTGCCAAAGTAAAATTAATTTTGGCAAGCTCCAGCCCCTCCCACCCTCCCTTTATTTTCTTAGTGAGTACGTCCTTTGCCAAAATCAGTCTTATCTTGGTAAGTACTAGCCCCGCCCACCCGACCTTAATTTTCTTAAAAAATGTCTTTGGAAATTTTTTAAGGTGCCAAGATTTTCTAAATATTCTGTTTCAGATTTTTTAAATATGTCAAAATTTGCCTTATTACATTCATTTTTGAGATTCTACAGAGGTCTAGGAATTTTCGAAAAAATAACCCTCCTCTGCCAAATTTCCGGAGGTGCTGTTGTGATCCCAGACCTAGATTTTCGAAACATTTTCTATCAAATTCAAATTTCAAAATATCCCAAAGATTACTTTCGTCATTGTGGCGATTTTCCAAAAATGGTAGGAATTTTCAAAAAAATGAAGCCAACAAAATTTTAGAAATTGAAACCATTAATAGAATGTCTTTTACTAATTTTCAAAGGTGCTATTGTCCAAGATTTTTGAACTATTCTGTTCAAATTCAAATTTTTGAAATATCTCAAAATTTGTCTTATTTCATCATTTTGCAGATTCTTCAAAAATGAATTTTCTAAGAAATAATGCCAAAAAAAAAATCTGGAAATCGAAATCAGTAGAAGAATGTCTTTTACTAATTTTCAGATTCAAATTTTTGAGATATGCCAAAATTTATATGTTTAAATGTTGTTTGTGATCACTATAATGTATCTTGGACTGAAGCGTCCTGAACATGCTCGCTACGCTTGCATTTTAGAGTAGATTTACCCTGACGGGCAGATCTTGAGAATCATTGTAATAAAAACTAAATCGCCCTGTGACCGATCATTCGTAATTTTATTTAAAAAAGAACATTCAGAATGCGTGTGCAGCGAGCACATTTAGGTGTTCAAAATTATTCGTAAACCTAAACACTTTCGCTGAGATTATTTCTTGATCACTTCTCTGCAAAAAAGAACGCTTAGAATGCGAGCATGTACAGGTGTTACTAAAAATAAGTCACGGCTCTAAAAAAATTTGGTTGTCAAAGTTGGATAATATTAGTTCTAAAAATATGAATGCTTTGGGAAACACCAAGT